TTCTATATACACGGTCAATCAGCCTTTCATATCAGGAGCGAAATTCGGCAGATCGTTGTTTGTCCCAGTCCTCCAGGATTCTTTTTGTCCTTCTTACTTCGGTTGCATTGTTCGCTTCTTCATGGAGTCCGAAGCGGCACAGGAGTTCTTCCCCCGTGTGGTAGATGTCGTTTCCCTCGAAGATGACGCGTCTCTTCGTAGATGCTACATTTGGACAGGTTTTGTCGGTTCCGGGGTACACCTTGTGAGCTCCGGTTGGCAACATGTAGGCTCTGGCCAAAACTAGGAGGGCGCTCCCCTTAATGTTATCGTAGGTGAAGCTAGCTACACCTCGAGTTTTCTTTCCCTTGGCGTAAGTACTGAGGCTCGTCTTGAGGAGCATGCTATCTCTCCACATCGCCTCTTGGGTCTCTCGTATCCTTTCTTTGATCCTTTTGTTGGAGATATTTGTTCTTCCTAGAGTGGTCGAAGGCTAGGTTCGGTAGATCAGCAGGACACGTGCGAACTCAGAGAGGACAACCGGAGGTTGAGATGGGAGCACACCACAGTAATTTTATTGGAGAAAGTGTCGTCTTCTATATCAGTGGGTTGACCCTCCCCTAGAGGCACAGTTCGTAAGGCATCGAGTAAGATTTCCAGATGGTTACTAAATACGGAATCAGAAGAGAGGCCTGATGAGTGGAGTCTCTGACATGTGTCAGAGCTGGAGCCTCTGGCACGTGCCACAGTACGGAGTCTGGGTTCACCGAAATAGATATGACAGAGAGCTTAGCTTAGAAGTATGAGTGAAGCTATTTCAAAGTTAGTCTAAACAATATTCGAGAGCGGGCGTCCTTCTTCATCGAACTGGAGACTGATGTCTGAACACCTGCATTTTGCTTGATTTTGAAGTCGTTCGGTCTCCTAGTCTCCTGGTACGCCGTGGTTTTCTTCTGAGTGAGCTCCATGATTCTCAAGATCGCTTCCGGCCATCTATTTTCAGGCATCGATCTCACTCCATCGAAGTATCTCATTTTGCTTAGGGCATCCCTTGCTTCGAGGGATGACCATTCAAGTTCGCCTTCGACGAATTCGTTCGATACTTTCGGCCCTGGAATCCCTAGCGCCCATTTCCCGGCTTTTTGTTGGGCTCTACCCAGGGTGTCCCTCGAATTAGCGCTCCTCACCAAGACCGAGTTGGCGTAGGTGAGTTTCGGGCCGGCGGTTGCTTTCCACTGCACTCAAGTGATTTCGAATCGGTTGAAGCCCCAGAGAGACGTAGCATGCAGGGCGGAATCTGCCCCTTTCGCCCAGGCTTCCTCTTGTGCGTTGAGGTAGTTTCTGGAGTTGGATAGGGTTACTCCCAGGTACTTATAGTTTTCTGCAAGTAGGATGGTTTCGCCTGGCGAGACCTGCTCAGTGAAAGGAAATGTGCATCACTCGTTCCTTCCATGTCGGAGTGAAGCAAATGTGAAGCCGTTCATGTATAAGAAGGTTAATCATGATTTAAGCTGGCCGGAGATTTATTGTTATCCTGAAGATCCTGAAGATTTGGTTTCAATCTGTCGGATTTCCAAACATATCATCTCATGGAATCATTCCTAAAGCAGCGTTTTGTCTAGAAGCGTGCATGCTTCAATTGCCAGGATTCTTGGGTTGAGGGAGAACCTGCTTACAGGCGGAGCCAATCTGTTAGGGGTCTTTGCAAATCATGCATTTGCCACAGTATCCGATATAAATTTTCAAGTAGGCTGCGAAGGAGGTTCCTTTATGGAAGTTTTGGTTACGGACGAATACGAAGGAGTGACAATGGCGATCGTTGACCATCGGTCCGGGAATCTCTTCGACGGAGCGAGGTCGACTTATGTCGCTTTTCCCTTAACGCGGTCATCCAAGTAATAGTTGAAGACGATCGGTGGTCAATTCGCCGCAGTCATCATCGGATGACATCGGATGATTTCTTGTATTTCGTCGGCGCCGGCGGTGTATGCTTCTTCGCTCCATAGCTGTAAAACGATCCTTTTGTAGGTTCCATCTTTGGCCGTGAGATTTCTTTGTCGAGGTCTGTCGGGTCCTCGCAGTCGAGTGTCCTCGGAATCTTTTTTGGAATATCGGGTTTTAAGATTTCGTTGTTCCCAAGTCTTCTTGAGCCGATACGGAGCCATGATTCCAGAGAAAAATTGCGAATTATGACTTTGAAGCTTAGGTCAATCGAGAAGTCTATCGCGTGGAAATGGTGTTGAGTTGTTGTTAAAAATCTTATGCGTAGGTTTGAATTGATTTGCTTACTCGTACGGTCCGTTTCTCCGGATTTTTCTTTGTTTCTTGCTTTCGATCGGGAAATGCGTCGATTTGACCGAAAGGCGTCACTCGGAAATCAAATTGATCCTGCACAGCGATGAAGCAGTAGTGGGAACGGTTTTGAGTCGGGCAGGCCCATGACTAATGAGTTAATACGGAAGGAAAATATTTTGCTTACCTCTCGAATCGATTTGTTCGCTTGAACCGACCGAAATCGTAGGTTCCGCTTTTAGTGGTGGCTTGGATAGGGGAACGCACCGAAGTGAGCGTAAAGCGTATCTCGGGAAACGAACTGATACTGCGCAGTCCGAGAGCAGTTTGAATCGGAGCATCGTGCGCGTGTAGTCTGGAAACCGTTGCACAGCTTCGAATGACGGTTATTCGTTGAATGGAAACGGAGTCGTTCCGAGTTTTGACTGTTGAGGTGAGGCGGTCAGGCGGCACGCGGGCCATCTTCGATTTGTACACGCGTATGTTTTCCCAATGCAGGCGGACGAAGGGGGCATGTAGTGTAGTTCACACGCGCCGGGCACATTCTTTCCCGATTCCCGAAGTCACGAAATTCGATTGATCCTTCAGATTGACCTACTATAATGACTTGAACACAATCGTTCTCGAATGCGGAGTATTCTAGCCTTCATTGGGTGGATGCAGGAATGTGTATCAAGCCTGCTTGCTATTAGAGTATGTTTGTATAAACGACATTGGGGATCAATTCGTCAATGTCTTTGCTTTTGATTCTCATATCTTCCGGCGTCGCGACTCGACTCAAGGCGACGTATAGATTTCCGTGATTGGAAGGATCACTGCGCAATAATAAGCCTACTCTTTGGAAGGTTTGACCCTGGCTTTTGTTAATCGTCATAGCGAAAGCCAAGCGCTGGCGGAATTGTCTCCTCCTCAAGCGGAAGCGCGAATTATAGGAGTCACAGTAATTGTCGGTACGGGGAATGATAACGAAATCGCCCTCCCAGCGGCCGTGATGAATTTGCAACCGACAACAAATTGACCGATGGGTTCGATTTTGAATCTTGTCCCTTTGCAGAGACCCGCGGTCACATCTAAATTACGCAGGAGCATAACTATAGCTCCTTTTTTGAGGTGTAAGAGATGTGGGGGCATTCCTGGTGGACTGAGACTGTTGAGATATTTGAAAGGATAGAATATGAGCTCATCAGCTCCGCCATGGAAGATTTCATCGATGCTCCTTAGATGGCCTTCATGCAGTGTATCAGAAACCTGCAACCTATCCAAAATGCGTTCATTCATCTCATCGACGGCGGCATTCTTGCGTGCTAAAATCGCTCTATCTGCTAGATCGTCTACGTTACTCTCTGTGATTACGTCTCCGTGAATCTCTCGAACCAAATCTCCTTCGCAAAAAAGATGTGGTGGGAATGCAACGCGTCCAGACTGGTCATGAAGACTTCTGTCTTCAACCCTAAGCAAAAAACTCTGCCAAGAATCTCCGCCGCGTCTTGCCCGTATGTTCTGAGTCAGCCGGCAAAGTTCAAAATGAGACCAAAGGATCGATGTCTTCATGAATAGGCGCACGGGCATCTCGGTGGTCTTTGCAACGGTGGTTCTCGCGGGCTCCAGCCATTGCGACCAAACAAATTGCAAAAATGGGAGGGAAAAAGACATGTCCTGACACCAACAGAAACTCGATATCTCATCTGGATCCGATTTTACAAGCGTTCGTTATCGGAATATCCCTGCTGCCGCACCCTGTACAAGTGCTCATGTATGTACACCGATGATATCGCCCGGTTCTAGTCGAGTCGGTTCCGTCTCCAACAAGCCCTGAGGAGTCTGCAACGATATGTCTTTGAGAATGATCTCGAGATCAACGCCTCAAAGTCGAAAGCTCTCAAATTCCGCTGCGGTGGCGGACCCTCGGGCTCAGATCAGTTCAGAATCGACTCGGACACTCTTGAGCTTGTTGATCACTTCCAGTACCTTGGAATTTTCTTCTCGGCGTTTGGCTGCTCGTTCTCACGGCATCCCCGCGAACGAGTTCACCTGGGTCATCTCGCTTCTCACTGCATCGAAAACCCTCACAAGCTCTCCCTGGAGACGGCTGAGACTCTGTTCACTCTGAAAATCGAGCCGACGGCATGTTACGGGATCCCAGTGATCTGGGCTCAGCTCGGCAGATCCCACCTCATGCAGCTGGATCGCCTCAAGGCGGCTTTTCTCAAAAGGGTGCTGCGAGTGCACCGATCAAGCAGAAACAGACTCGTCTATCTCGTGGCGAATGTCCCATTACTCTCGGAGCAAGTCCGGCGAAGATTCAATCTCCCGGTGACCGAGGCCTTCGCCGAGCACTGTCGCGAGCGGAGGCTGACGGACGTGGACCCCGAAGTTTTCTACACCGAGGCCTTTTCTTCAGACCGTTGGAAGGGTTCCGACTACATGAACAGGCATCTTGTAACCCGGTTTGCGATGCACGGCTTTCACCACAAAACTTGCTCTCGCAAAGGCTTCCATGACCCCTCGGACGAATGCATCTGTTCATCTGTTCCCTATGCGGGGAGATAGGCGGAACGTATCATCTTCAGCAATGCACGAAGAAAGTGTCGCTCTCCAGGTTGACATAAATCTTGTATATTTAAATAAGGTACATAAACTGGTTAATAAATGGTTGAATGAATGATCTGTTGCCTAGTTATGCGCGGAGGAATGTCCTCCGACGAAGATAGGGGTTCCCCGAAACTACCTCAGAAAACCATTTCAAGCTTTCTCGGATTAGCCGCCATGTAGTCCACAATCTCTTCAACAGTGAGCGGCATTTCTCGATTAATTTTCAACGCCGTCAAGCCACTCAATCTCTCTCCTTTCATCGTACTCCGAAGATCTGTTTTCAGCAATTTGAGTACGCTGAAATCGCGCTCAGCTGTCGACGTCGTCACTGGGAGGGTGGCGTAAATTTGGAGTAACATCGAGATTTTTGGATAGTCAATCGATGAGCATTGATTCAAAGCTTCCAAAGCGTTTCCCGGCCTTTTTCGGCTGGAACTTTCGACCATAAATATTTCCAAAGCTCGTAGTCCGCACTAATGACACTCATGCTGCGACTCAGGTCATCTTTGTAGAAATCTAGCGCTTGACTCAAGTCGCAGAACTGGCCTCTCTCCACATATTTCGGCACGAGAAATTGAATCTCTGAGGCTCCTGCTCTGTAGTCTACACAAAAAGAATTGAATTCTTGTATCAGCTGATCCAGGTATACAATGTACAGACTGACCCTATAGTACTCTTCTGTAGTTCGCGATGGATGGTTCTCCCTGTGTCCCTGTGTTCCACACCGTCTCGGGAGCTTGATTACGACGCCGATATCAGAGCATATTCTTTCGATTACTTCGAACAATTCAGCGAATATCGTCTCCGCGTCATCTCTGCGCTGTTGCAAGACGGCTGCTAGGACGTCTATCGTTTCGATAGCGCTCAGTAAATCGAGCTGGGTGGACTGTAGAGCGACGGATAGGGGAGGAGAACGGCAGAGAAACTTTCAATTACCACAAGAGCGGTCTCGAATTCGCACTTACAAAGCGCTGATAGGAGCTCGTTGGCGCGGCCAGTATCGTTTGCCTTCGTCGAAACTTCCAAAGCCCTCACAATAGGTACGAACATATCTTCGAATCTGATGAACGCCTGATGGCTTTCGACCCAACGAGTCGAACACAAGGGTTTCAGTAGACGAGCGGTGATGGTATCGGAGTGAAGAACGACTTGCTCTTCGAGTATTTTGATCCGAGAAATAGAATCGGATATGAATCTTAATAACACTCAGCTTTATTTGTAAGCGTGAGGGGGGTGAGATACCGTAAAATACCCAATACAAGCCCGGGCGTCTATTTTTTTCGAGAGCCTCTTGGGGAGGGTTTATATTGGAGAGGGGCTTCTATTGGAGAGGGGCTCCTAATACCCTAATTTTGGACTGGGGAACGCCGATGATCAAAACAAAAGGAGGGAGCACTGCTTGACTGCATTTTCCTGTATGAAGACAACTATTTTATCCTAGAGATTATGTCTACAAACTCTTAGGTATTTACAACTCCACGAAGGTACGTCATATCTCACAAATCGAAATGTCGCTCTCGTGTGTTTTTTGGAGGAGTGAGTCGTCTGTCAGGAGAATAGGCTCCTCTTCCTCTTCTCTTCCGAGACAGGAATCAAACTCGTCGCGGACTTTCAAATTCCTCGTGCATTCAATTAGCTCGGCCAGACCATTTGGACAAGCTGCATCAGGCTTGAATACGTGTATGAGGTGGTCCTCGGTACCGTCGATAGCGTTCGATATCCCGCAAGCCATGAAGAATTTCGCGATTATCTCTGGAGTCAGTCGCGACCAGGAGTCGACGATACATTTTAGCTGCACGTCCATCGGTGGAGCTCGCATATTACCTTTGGGAGTGTACGATTTTTCTCCATGGAGCAACCAGTCTTCGTACTGTTCTTCGATTCTCTGTTTGAAAGGTTTGTTCCAGTTGACGTCCGGGGCTTGAACGAATTTAGTGCAACCTCCGAGCACAACAACGGAATCGACGCGCAGATTTCTTAGCTCATCGGTGTCTTTCGTGAGATGAGCGCGAAACGCATCCCCTCCATTCGGAATGTAACGGTTTCATCGTTCAATGCGATCGGCAAATCGCTCTCCGTGTCGTCTGCGTTTCGCATACTCTGATTTCGGGGGGCTTGTATTGGAAAGGGGCTTCTATATTTTTGAACCGTCGGAGGGGTGGGGCTTGTAATGGAGAGGGGCTACTAATAAGTAGTGGGCTTTCATTGGGTATTTAACGGTATGTACACAATAGCAAGAGACGGCTGACGGAATCACGAGCGCAGGCAAGGGGGGGAGGGAGAGATTAGGTGATGCAGGTCGTGATTCAGGCGACGGCCAAGTCTCCAACGAAAGGAGGCTCCAATGACGTTATTCCAAGGCCTACGGAGCACTGAGATCTTTGAGGCACGGGTGAGAGTATCACGAATGGCTAAGAAGTCGTCGAAGAGTGGGTCATGGAGAATCTTGATTGCCAGTTTTCTGTCCTTCTCATCCAGAAGAGCAGAGATGGGCGATAGGTCGATAGAATCGCAGCAGACACTGCACTTGAGTGCCACACGGCGAATGAAACGCTTTTGAAAGCTCTCAGGGAGGAGCAGGTCTCTTTTGAACCAGGGCCGCCAGACCTCGGATCCATAAAGGAGCACGGGAAGGATGAGTGCCCTGTACGCCCTGACATAAACCTGTGGAATATTTGAGACGAACGCACGGTGAATGAGATTTGCCAGACGGCCCGCCCTGACAAGGGCATCCCTAATATGAACAATCGGTTGAAGATCAGTGGAGATCGGAATCCCAAGGTCCCTTGACACATGAGGACATACAGGACACATGAGGACATACAGGAGTGATTTCGCCGAACATGGTATACTCTGCAGGCTGAGAGTGAAGAATATGTAGCACAGCAGATTTGGCAGATGAAATCTTGAGCTTCCAAGTAACTGACCAGTCTTCAATGTTGGTCAGGGTGTTCTGGAGAGCAGTTCTGCCCAGGGGAGACGACACGTCAGCAAAAATTTTGGTATCATCTGCGTAGGTTCTGTGAGAGACACCGCCCACTATCTCACGCTGAAGATCGGTGGAAAAGAGCAGGAGAAGTAGGGGTCCCACGACGCTCCCCTGCGGGACGCCAGAGGGTGCGGGCGACCAGGAAGAGCGGGAGTCCCCGACTCTGACAGAGAACGTTCTGTCGGTCAGGAAGTCCTTGAACCAGGAACATAAAACAGGCGAGAAGCCGAAGTACGGTAATTTGAGCAGCAGGAGACGATGATTAACGACATCAAACGCAGCACTGAAGTCGATGTAGATGGCGTCCGTATGAGCACGATCATTGTCGAAAGAGGTATACCATTGAGATATGGTGTCGACGAGTTGAAGCACAGTAGACTTCTTCCGTCTGAAGCCGAACTGGCGCTGGTCAAACAACCGGTTGGATTCGCAATGATCGACGATTCGTTTGGAGAGAATGGTCTCCAGGACTTTACTGGGAACAACAGTGATGGAGATAGGTCGATAGTTCCGAGCATCAGAGCGAGCACCCTTCGATTTGTGAACAGGCGTAACAAAGGATCTCTTCCAAGCAGAAGGAACAGTGTCGACAAGAGGAGGGGCCTGATCCATCTTGGGGGGAGGAGTAGACCCGGTTTGACGATCAACCATGAAAGTAGAGGCAAAGTGACGAGCAAGGTGACTAGCTTTCTCAGCGTCGGATCTGAGGATTTCGCCACGGTCGGTCTTAAGAGAGGGGACAGTCGGCATATTCCCAAGACGGCAGCGAGCATACCGGAAGAATTCGCGAGAGTCGCTCCGCGACGCCACGCTGGTCTCCACAGCAGTTCTCTCCGGTAGAACTGCCTTGTCCAGTCGTTTCTGGAGGGAAAACAGAATCGAGTCATCAGCATCGACGGGTAATGACGCGATGGCATCATGTAGGCAAGCGATGTAAGAGGTGATAGAATGGGGGCGGCGGATGCTTTTCTTCCGCGGTACCATGAGATGGCAGATAGATGAAATAATAATCGACGAGAGTATATCGTAGAGCGTATCAGCATCGAAGAATCGAGTGTCAAGTATGCGCTCCCAGTCGAGTAGAAGCAGACAGTCGTTGATGCACTCAAAGTTCGCATTCCTGAAGTCAAAGCCATAGGAGCCCTGTTGGACCACGTCGACGGTCGCAGGGATCCGGAAGGCAAGAGCATAATGATCAGATGCCACTGGGGCAGTACAAACACGCAGGTCCTCAACGAGATCGAGGTCATCGGTGAGGATCAGGTCCAGCGTACCGCCCGAGCGGTGGGTGGGCTCAAGGATAAGTTGTTTGAGGCCGGCGGATAAAGTGAAGTCCAGGAAGATTTCTTCGCGAGAGAGAGATTCACGGTCGGTCGCTGAAGGACAAGAGAGATCACTCCAACTAATGTGAGGTAGATAGAAGTCCCCACAGCATACTATAGTAGAGCTGACATTGAGAAGAGGCTCCAAGTCGCTGATGAGGGTACGGATACGATTACGTCCACTTTCAGCGCTCCCAGATTGGGGAGGATAGTAGCAAGAAATGAGTCTGAAGTGACGGGAGTCAACAGTCAGGTCGACAGCACAGATCTCGCTGGAGCCGGAGTATGCTACAGGACACGCGTCGAGAGGTCTTCGGAGCAGTATGCAAACACCTCCCCCGCATTTGGGGTAGGGCCTATCACGACGGAAAACAGAGTATGAATCGCCGAGAGCAAGCACACCATCGCTGATAAGATCGGGTTTGCACCATGTTTCACATATGAACATGATGGCTGGAGAATGAAGAGTACAGTATGAGCGAAGTATGTCAATCTTGCCGTCCGGGGTTAGGTCTAGCAGCGTTGAAGGAGACGCATGAGAGTCAACTGGTCGGGGCAGCCTTACTGACTGTTTCGGCGATGCGATCTGAGATAACATCGCCTACGAACAACTTGATCATAGAACCGGTGGGCCAATTCTCGGGAATGAGGAGCTCCTTAGGGTCATTGCTGTTGGCAAGAATGACGAACGATGAGTCTGAGTTCTCAAACCGATTCTTGAACTTGTAAACGGTCACAGCATTTGGGCAGGAAGAGGAGACATGCTCGAGAATCATCGACGCACTGGTTTCACCATGGAGTCGAGAGACGGAGATCTTCGACAGCTCCGGAATCCTAGGAGCGACAGCGAACGGTAGGTCAGATCCACCGGTCCCGATAAGTGGTTTGGGACGTGAATGGGATCTAACGGTAGCTGAGCCGTCAGCCACAGTGTTCCTTCGCGGAGCTTGTGGCAGCCGACGAGTCAGCTTCTGTTCATCAACTTGACGAACAGGTTGTTGAGAGCGAACAGCCGGTGCATCCACAGAGGATGACAGTGCGGTGAGCGTGGAAGAGATTGGTGCAGCGGAGGATACGACTGGGCCATCAGGGAGCATCGAAGGCTTAGCGACGGAAGACTTCGGCTGCTTTTTCGACCAAGACTCCAGCAAAGACGAGTTAGCACCCTGACGAACTTGATCACCAGCGGCAGAGAGGCTGATCGCGCTACGAAGTTGGTGAATTACAGCCTGTTGAGCCTCAAGCTTGCCCATGAGGCTTGGCGTGAGGTTGGTTAGCTGAATCACCCTGACGGAGATGTGTTCCAAAGTTGGTGCCTTGCTGTCCTTCGCCGCGCAACAAGAAGGACAAAGTCCGACCTGATCGGTGCTCTTGAGACCGCCGGCATGAACGAAGTTGCAGCAGAGACCAGTACAAGCCAGTAGGCAACGATCAGGTGCATCGGCTGTTCCGCAGACCGCACACAAGAACTCAGATGACATGCTTCACCGCTAATTATTCCAGTGATCAATGGGACCGGGAGAACCGACACCGCAGAAGGGGTGAATGGGAAGCACTGACTCACGACGATTTAGTCTGTGACTAGCACAATGAACATACAGTGCTTCTGGGACTCTCGCTTTGATCACAGTTTGGACGCCTTTGAATCGACCCGACATTGCGCTGCATCCGTCGTATCCTTGTCCTCGCGTCTTCGAGACATCGATGCCTTCCGCGGAGAGATTCTCGAGGATTTTCGCAGCCAGACCAGCACCAGTTTTGTCGAAAACTTCACAATACATTAGAAATTTTTCCTTAACAACTCTTTGACCGTTTCGCCAGACTACTTAGCGTAAGCAGAGCGCTAGCTGATCGATTCTGCTACTATCCCTCGTTTCATCTGCAAGAATCGACAAGAAGCCAGACTCTTTAACCTCGGCTGAGATTTTTTTTCGAAAAATTTTCCCAATCCCGTCGATTATTTCGTTCTGGATTCGCACGCTGATGTAAGGAGTCTTCCCCGAGGATGTTCTTGTAGGCAAGTGTCGCAGGCTTCGATGCGACATCGGAGGAGCGCTCGAAAATTACCATCATTTCGAGTCGATTCCTCCATCACATCTGAGTCTTCACGATGGCCTCGAAGAGCCAGGCCTTGCCTACCGCAGAACAACACGGTCCTTATGATCGAAGCAAGCTTCTGCCGGTTTTGTAGAGCTTGTTCCTCTCGACCGCTATTGGCGAGGTTCCTAATGTCCATGCTGCTCCTGTCGTTGAACCACTTGATGGAATGCTCGGCGTTGGTTTCGGCTTCCAGGTGGTAAATCGCGATCTCGTGCTCTCTGATAAATTCCAGCGCTTTCTTGTACTCGTTCAACGGCGAATGTACGAATAACTTCAGTGATCGAATGCCACCGTGGCTAGAACTGATTTTCGCAAAGAGCACGCAAAACTTGCGATACGCCCCGCCGCCCTCGACTGTATGCTAAGCATTTCCATTTTTCGAGGTAGTCGTATTTGAAAGACCGTGAGCGTCCAGTTTGCAAAACTTTGGGAAAATCGTAGTTTTCATCTGGGGTCCACGCATTCGTTAGGACTTCGTATTTCTCTCCATCCTCGAGAGGTACCCTTGATTTGGAGAACCTACCGATGTCCATTGCATGCATGATCGGTTCGTGAGTTTGCATTCCCTCTTGCATGTGTTCATCATTCGTGTTGGACAGAGACGCTCTAGACGAAGCCTCATCGTCATTCCGATCAGCACTCATCTCTCCAACATTCTCGGGACGGGGCGATTCTTTTCTCTTCTTCTCAAAGAAAGATGTCAACAACGGCTGCTGACGTTTCATGATTTGGTCTCTATTCCGTTCCTGTGGAGCGTCATATCATAAATGCCATCCCGGAATAACTTGAAACGATCGCATGTACATATGATATTACGCCTGACACACGCGTTCGGATCGCGCAGAGCAGTCCCTCATTTCGAACAGCAGAACGTCAACAAACAGTCCAATTGAGGTGGACGTGATTCTCGCCAATCTGCTCCCTAACTACGAACGTGCAACATCAATGAATAGTTCTCATCAGACCGAGAGAGAATCGAAAAAGACCGAGAGGAACCGAATCAGAACTCGATTTATCGGGTAGAAAAAGCGTCCATCTGACGACAGGTCGACTGACAATCTTGGGGGGGCCATGGCCCCTGCCCCCCCCCCCCCCTATGGACGCTACTGTTCCCGCAGACGCTTTTCTGGCACGGTTCGCACATTTTTTTTCATTTCTGCGCAAGCTCTCCGGTTAATGAGACAGGCGTGCTCGGGTGGGTGGCAGTGAATGCCGTTTTGCCATAGGACGGCAAGATCCGGTTCCTAGCAAGCAAAATGAACCGGCTACTATGCGATGATATATAGAATTGGCTACATGATGAGATCACGAAATAGGTGGGTCCAAAATGAAATCATGATCAAGGGATATTTCAAGATTCTGACGTACCCTAGCAATCAATGCTCGGGCCGAGAGGCCCTCCTGCTTTTTACGGATGCAACGGCAGTGGAGTTTCTGATCGACCCTCTTATCTATTGCAAATATCCAAGGTTTTATGTGTTGAGCTCATGGGCGTTCCATTGATATCATTCATGCATTTCGGAATATTTATATAATACTAGGTATTTCCCGCTTCTACCGCAGCAGAGGCGGGGGAGAGTACAAGCGCAGACGCTATTGCTTCCTCATGCCAACCCCGACTTATGCCTACGCCTCGCTTCTTAAATGGGGAACTCAAGTTGAACTGTCACGCATTCGAGGGTTGGGCGTGCTCATCGTCGACGGTAGTTTTTCCCGAGCGTCCAGAGGCTTCGGCTTCACCGTGTCGGGCTCTTGGGGGGATCTGTTCCGGATATCGACCACGTGGAGAAGGTTCGAAATTTTCAGCATCGTTGCTCATCCGGTTGACTTCCCTGGCAGTAACGCCGCGCATGGCGGGCTCTGCTGAATAATCTTTCAGCCGGAACGCTCGTCGGCTGCATTGCGTTAATTGTTTCGATCATCTTTCCTGGGAGCACATCCACTCCCTTCTTGTGGAGTTTCATTAGCTCCTTCGTGGGTATTCCACTCGCAACTTTCTCGCCCTGATCAGCTCGCAACGAGATCTCGAACTCGTCCAGGTCATCGTCAGCCTGGTTCTCGGGCCAATCGGTCGCTCCGGTCACGGTGAACCTCCGGATCTCTGTCTCGATGTTGCCCGTGGAAGCGAATGAGGCGCACATTCTAGCCTCCCCCTCAAGAGCTGCCCTATCGCGAGCCTCCGCCAACCAAGTTTCGAGATCAGCTTCTTCACCCTTGTCGTGGATGTATCTCGACAATCGCATTGCCACACCCCTCCGCTGGAGGATGCGGAGATTAAGTCGGCGGACGAGCGTCCCCGCAAACTCTGATCTTTCTTCCCTCAATTTACGCACCATCGCCTTAGACGAGAGAATATTTAGTCCTAAATAATAATTGGTCGAGTCTCGCCGGAAAGCCAGGGCTTTCTTGAGTGGAAGAAACCTACTTGCAAAGCACAATCAGCATTGTATAAGGTGAGATTTTGCATTGATAGTCGCTTCTTCTGAGACTTCCAGAAGTTCAGTCTTTGTAAGAGGGAAGTCGGGGCCGAGAACTTTCCGGAGGGCGTTTTCGAAAACGAGGAAATTCGTCTTTGTAGTCGTCATCGTCGTCATGATAATGTTGGAAATGCAAGCTATCGCTCGCTGCCTGCGGAACCAGATACAGATCCGCCAGCGGGTGGGAAGCCTGGTTTCTGATCTCGGGCTGATTTCCCTCTTTTGCCGCGGCTCTCCCGCCAAAATTCGCCGCGACAGGAGCAGCGGCTCCCGAATCTACGGAAAATCATTCAACATAACTTCCTCAAATTCGGATAGGAGGCTCATTTGCGCTTCGGGAGACCTAGATTATTCATCCTAGCGTAGCAAAAGGGATATAAAGCCACCCGGGTGATCTACCCTTCAAAACATCTAAGCTTGTCGCGGCTCCTCTTGCCCCGGTCTCCTCTCGATCCAGCGAGCGGACACTTATTTCCGAGAGCGATTGTTGCACATGACTCCCTCGACCGTCTGCAGTATAACAACGGCGTTTTTTCATTATGGGTTCGTCAGGGCGAAAGAGGTGACTCCGGGAATGATCATGATGGAATTGGGAAATTCCTTGAGAATTCACAACAGAGAATCTAGCGTCCCACGTCCCACCTCTTTCCTTGAGAGGTCCCGCAGACTTCAGTAGCTTCAGTAGCTGAGCTGAGCCGATGACGACTATGGACGACAGAGTTAGTAGGTCGTCAGTAAGTCACGATTCCGCCAATAATGGGCTGGATCGAATATTTCGGAGGCAGCAATTAAGGGTCATCCGGAGTCCAGAACTCTACTCACAGAAGGCCAGCACTAACCCGGGAAATAATCTCCTCGACAGGGAGTTTCCCCAAAACTCTGGGACGAGGAGCATCGTCGTTTCGAAACAAAACGTAGTGGCTAGGCACGTACCTTCTTGAACGGAGTAAGAATGTAACTGAATGATACGTCTCGTTAGGGCTCGTAACGGAGAGTTTTTCTCGTTACGACAATGGAGCGTCCCCAGCACCATCTTCTACCTTGAGAGTATAGGAGCATAGGCAAAGACATGAATGGAGGGGGCAGTGTTTGCCCAGGTTCACCTCCAGAAAGGGCGCAGAATGGACCGATCTCTTCGGAAAAAAAAGAAGAGTCTCCGGAAAAAAATCTCTGTCGAGGGACGCGATGTCCGCGAGCTGTATTTTCAGATTCAGTGCTCGAGCTCAGAACGGGAGTCGCTTCTTTCAGCACGGTCAGGTTGTGGCCTTCGCGGTCTGAACGACAAATTCGCGGTCCAAGACAACTGGGCAAAGACCAAGTGGGCAAATCGACCAACTGGGCAAAAACCAACTGGGCAGCCCGACCATCTGGGCAAACACCAACTGGGCAAAAACCAAATGGGCAAAAACCAATTGGGCAAATCGACCATCTGGGCGAACGCCAACTGGGCAAAAACCATCTGGGCAAGAATATCGACCGGAGATAGAGGAGACGGGGGATAGTCCTGAACTTTCTAGGTGCCATCTAGGCGAAGAGCTCTATCCTTAGCTTGCTGTCTGAAAATACGAGGCACATCCCGCCGCATCACACGGAACGTGTGGTCCGATATCTATCGAGGTCGAAGTTGGGTCACTTGAATATCGAGTCAATCTCCTCTTTGTAATGATCGCCGTTCCTCGAGTCCTGGGCTGCAAGATTCCTTGCCTGAGTTATCTTCGCGCAACTTTTCTTCATTTATTAAGGAAGGGATGTGATACAAGTAAGATATGTGTTTAAGAAGGATACCTATGTACTTATTGGTATTGTATGTCTCTCTTTTCGAGACGCTTGGTTAGAAGTCACAAATGATTACGCATCCATGAAGAAGTTATGAGCGATGCCTCGACGGTACTCGACATGCGTCAAGTTCGCAGCGTCTCGAACGACTTCGAGAATCTTTTCATCAGCCCTGACGTATTGACTCCTCTTCTTTGGGGCCTCATTGCCCGCGATGAAGGACTCCACTTGGAAGGCTGGACCTCTCTGGACTTTTTTCAATCCATCAAGGAATTTCCAGATTGTTGGGTGCTGCACCCCGAATTCGGTTTGCATCCGGCGGTTGGCTGCTTCCGCATAATTGTTTGTGCGAGCTTCCCCGTCGAGCGTCCTCCATCACACCGACCACATCTCGATCGGAAACTGCGGAGCTCTTCGGATCAGAGTGCCATCTGGCCTAACTCCGTTGAGACGTCCGATATACACGTCTTCGAAGTAATTCAGGACAGGAATCAGCTCGGCGGGCAGCACGGGTGCGAGTTCAGAGACTGCGTTATCGATTTCAGTCGGCACGACGAAGGCTAAGGCAGCAATCATTCGGGCCTTCAGCGAGAAAGAGTCGTCGCTCGTGTACCGGCTCCACAATCCTTCTCGGGCCACGCGAAGTTTGACGTTCTTCACTAGGTGAAAGAAGCATCCGTGAATGGAGACATCCATTGGGAAAAATTCCCGGATTGCGTTCACCATGGCTCTTTCATAGTCCATGACAACGCTGGACGGATTCAGAGCGGGCCAAGCCTCTTTCACTAGCCTCAGCATCCTAGTGTAGGTCTCACCGGTTTTATCCGGGAGCAGAGCGTATGCGACCGGCGTTACGCACCTCGATCTCTCTGCCAGGATGACAGACACCTGAGAGTGTAATCAAGCCTTGAGAAGAAGAAGAAGCTAGGCTACCACGCCATAACGATATATGTATGTATTCGAAATCGAGAGATGAGAACCTGTGCAAAGAGCGGTGGCGCCAGGTTGAAGGTACCGTCGACATACAACTTGTCGACATGGCCGATCCGAGATTTCGTGGATTCTCTACCGAAAATCATGATCCGGTATTCGTCTCCAACACCGGTATCTGCCACGAGGAAGTTCTCGAATGTCCCTGGCTCACTCTCATACATCCGATACTGCTCGGATAGTACGATGGAGGCTCGGCAAGCGGGGTTGCTCGGAGCACCCGAGAAAGCGTTTCGATGCCGGTTGATCAGCCTGGATATCGTGGGCGGCGGCAGCAAGCGTCCCAAAGTAGCCGTCGTGGCCGTCGACAGAACGGAGTCGACCAATGCAGACGGAGTCTCGTTGGATTCCTCGCAACGTCGCTTGATCTTGGTGGTAAGTCTCGCAACCTCAACGGCTGACGGATCTGGTGGACCCGAATGCACGCCCGCTGTTCTGACAACTTCTCCCGTACTGAGTCGAGTGTAGATGGAGGCTTTGCAGAGAATCGTAGCTGTTTTGTACATGCAGCGCCATGTCTGGAGACCAGATTTCGTCG